CCCTAAATAGTTTTGCTTTCTTTATTAATCATCTGGCAATCAATTTGTTTTGGAGGATTTTGAGGGAATTTAAAATTATCTTAGATATTGGTGCAATATTAAAGGATAAGATAATAAAAGTGGTTATTGTTACTTGCATATAGAACAGCTTGTGATCCTTGAAATAAGAACTGGTTGATTATAATTAGTGTACAACGATAATATTAAACTTAATTAGCACTGATAATTTGTTTGATGAATTTAAAGTGGAGATTATTTTATTTGTAATCTAAATAAACTCGAATTTCTTTTTATCTAATCCAATTATGATTAAGTTAAAAATATATATTCTTAAAATATACATTGTACATATTAATTATACACAAAAAAAGTATGTAATTGTTTATAGCAATTATATTACATCTAAGTTTTACTCATTGGACAAGCAGAAGAAAATATACAATATATGTGCACAACGTACACGCACCAGCATTAGTCTCGGTTAATTTTATTTGAATAATTACAATAACAAATGTCTCATGAAACCAATAAAGAGATTGAAATTGTTAAGATATACCCATACCACGAGCACGACATCGTTCACAGTACCAGGTATCAACTTCAACATAGCTAGGACCGAAACCAGTGCATATTCCGTGAAACCAAACTTGACAACCGTCGCACGAAAGCATAAAGTTTCCATCGTCAATTTCTGAAAATGGATATGGACAAATGCAATTAATGACTTCAGGCGGATCGGCAACACCAACGTTGGACGGATTATTAACAACGAGTTGTGATTGTACTGACGAGGTTGATGCTACAGGAGAAGCAGCGGGAGCAACAACGTCAATCGGGGATACCTTTCCAAGACGAATCCTAAGTTTTGTTGCACCAGTAGTTGAAGCTGAAGCTGGTTTATCAGCAGGTACAATAGCAGGTTTTGTAATTGGCTTTCCGAGTTTAACCTTTGACCCACGTCGAATTGCGGTTGGCGGCCTTGGTCGAGAAGAATTTAATGGCGTAGTCTCTTGGAAATCCGAAGAATCTATGTATTAGCATAAACAGTAACAATTATGCATAAACAATTCATTTGATTTACGATACCTCAGTGAAGTCTCCATCCGTTAAGTGCACTTCATCGGAAATCTCTGGGCGCGTTGACGGATCTTCTTCTGTGCGAGTTGGCAAAAATTCTTCCAGTTTCTGTTATTTTTATTGTTTGATATGTTCGAGCGTTGTATATAACAAAAAAATTGAATGTATGAAGCCCTTACCTTTAATTGTTCTGAATCAATCCATAAAGAAGGTGGAAATTCTACATTGAATTTCACATATAAATTGCCCTTATCAAATGGTCTCTTATAATGAGGCATACCCTCATTAGCTATGCATTTGATGGCACCTGGCTTTATTACTTCTCCCGGAGGATGATTTATAATCAATCCGCGTCCGTCCAAATGTGTAACAAGAACTTTTGAGAATCCACAAAGTGCTTCCGTAATAGAGATATTAACTTCTGTAAGTAAATCATCTCCCTGGCGCTCAAATTTATCATGAGGTTTTTGCTCGAGAACAAGAATTACATCTCCTGTTTCAACTCCAGGCTAGGTAAGAAGTTATCAAATGTGAATGATTGCAGTGTTAAGTGGAATTACTATATAATGGAACTTATAATATTATATTACCTCCTGATCTGCCTCACCTTGCATAACAATTCTTTGATTGTTTTGCATTCCTTTTTCGATATAGATATCTAATTTCTTTTTTTCTTCCACAACCTTAAGGCCCTTACATTTTTTACATTTATCTTTCTCTCTAATTATCCCGCCTGTACCGTTGCCTTTAACACAAGTGCAAAAGTCAGGATGATAAAATATTATAGAAATGACAAATCAATTTGTTCATACAATTTGCACAAACTGTGTTTATCCTCTGAATCATGCCAGGTCCAATTTGTCGCATAGCTACTTTAACACCACGACCCTCACAACTATGACATTTTTTAGTTGCACCAGATTTACTGCCCTTTCTACAAGTTGAAAGAAATATCCAGCATCAAAACTCTGAAAAGGAATGAGAAAAAAGCTACACATCATTTGATATAATTTATATACCCATGACATAATGAGCATACGACATCTCTCTGCAGCGAAATCCTGGCCGTTTTGCCATTATAAAGATCTTCAAGAGTGACACTGAATGGTTTAATAATATCTTTGCCCCGCCTTTGCCTTGAATGTCCACCACCTATACGAATTATGCATAATCAATATATATATCAATATAGATATATATTTACAAATGCATACAAGATACTTACCACCAAAACTAAATAAGCTTGCAAACAAATCTTCTGGAGACATAGCATTACCTCCGCCACCAGAGAGTCCATCTTCACCATATCGATCGTATATTTCACTATAAAGTAAAAGTTCTTGTAGAACGGACGCGTTTATACAATGCGCAGCTGAATCTGACCTGCTCCTA